GCCTTGAGCAATCCTTTCCCTTACAATGTGGCAATCAATTTCGATATGTTTGGTTCTCTCATGGAACACGTAGTTTTCAGCTATTGCTATAGCTGATTTGTTGTCACAGAAGATCACAGTCGGGCTGTCTAAAACAACATGCAGATCACACAGCAAAGAGTTAAGCCATTGTAATTCACACGCCGTCGTGGCAAGGGCTCGATATTCCGCCTCAGATGAGGACTTAGATACGGTTGCTTGTTTCTTTGACCTCCATGAAATAAGAGACGTACCAAGGAGGATGAAAAAACCTGTTACTGACTTTCGTGTTTCAGTACAAGCTGCCCAATCCGAGTCGGAGAAGGCTTTGAGGTTGAGAGTTGTATCTGCTAGATAGAACATGCCCTGGCCTGGGGAGCCTTTAATGTAGCGAAGAATGCGATGAGTGGCAGCCAAATGTTTATCCGTGGGAGCATTCACGAACTGACTTAGGTGATGAACGACATAAGTAATATCTGGCCTGGTTGCCGTAAGGTATAGCAGTCTCCCTACTAGCCTCTGGTAGCTACTTCGATCACTCAGAGGTGTTTCATCTTCACGGGATAAGAGAGAGCCTGGCACCATAGGAGTGCGAACTGGTTTACAGTCAAGGAACCCTGCATCATTAAGAATATCAAGGGCATACTTCCGTTGACATATGTTCAGTCCTGTACTACTAACAGCTGCTTCAATGCCTAAGAAGTAACATAGGACCCCCAAATCTTTGATTTTGAAGGCTGTATTCAATAGGTCCTTTAGTTCCTGTATGAGAGCTATCTTGCTACTTGCTACTTGCCACTAATATGTCGTCAATGTATACTAGTAGAGTGATGAAATTGTCACCATTGCCTCTTGTATATAAAGAAGGATCAGCACTTGATTGCTTGAAACCAACATGGAGTAAGGCGGTTGTTAACTTCGCATTCCACTGCCGACTCGCTTGCTTTAGGCCATAGAGAGACCTTGATAATTTGCACACTTGGTTGGGTTTTTCTGCTTGGAAGCCAGGGGAAGAACCATATAAACCTCTTCGTCAAGATCACCATGAAGGAAAGAGTTGTTTATGTCTATCTGATGAATGTGCCAGTTCTGAGACGTAGCTACTGCCAAGAATGTCCTTATAGTTGTCAATCTAGCCACCGGTGAAAACGTCTCAATGTAATCCACTCCCAGCTGCTGTGTGTATCCCTTGGCTACCAATCTCGCCTTATACTGTTCTACTGTGCCATCTGCCTTGATCTTTGTCTTGAAAACCCATTTACATCCTATGGGTTTCTTACCAGTAGGCAATTCTGTTACCTGCCAGGTGTTGTTCTCCTGGAGAGCAATTATTTCAGCTTTCATTGCATCTTTCCAACATTGATGCTTGATAGCTTGATTGTATGTTCGAGGCTCCGTGTTGCAATTAACAGCCATGGTGAAGGCTTTGTGTGAAGATGAGAGACCATCATATGTTATAACTCTAGATAAGGCATGAGGGGAAGAACCTTGTCGAACCACTGAATCACAATAATAATCATGGAGCTTGGTTGGCATATGTTTGTTTCTGCTTGAACGTCTGGGAGGGGCTGGATCAACATCATTAATCAAATCTCTGTCATTGGTGGCCTCCTGAATTGCATCAATATTTAACTCGCATGATGGCTGGTTAAAAACTGTGTCTTCTGTTTCATCAACAAAGGGTTCATGAGGGGATTGACTGGAAGCATGGTGATTAGTATCATCTGGTCTATTCATGTCCTGTCCAGGCTGTATGATTTGTACTTCCCCATGCATATCTTTGTCTTCATAATTCAGATGTGTTGACAGAGGAATGTTTGGTAATGGAGGACCAGATGATTGTGGCACAGGTGTAGCTTGCTCAGAGAAGGGAAACTGCAGCTCATAAAAGTAAACATCACGAGATACAAAAATAGATTTGTCAAGTAAATCATATAAGATGTACCCTTTGGTATTTGCAGGCATGCCTATATAAACACACTTCCTGCCTCTCGGATCCATTTTGGTTCTCAAATGGGGCAAAGTAGATGCGAAGCAAAGGCAACCAAAGACCCTAAGAGCTGTAAGGTCGGGGTCTTTGTTATGCAGCTTACGATAGGGGCTTAATCCCTCAATTACTGGTGAGGGGAGTCGATTGATTAAGAATGCTGCATGCATAACACAATGGCCCCAAAACTGTAGTGGGAGTTGTGCTTGAAATCGAAGGGTCCTTGCCACATTGAGAATATGCTGATGCTTTCGTTCCGCCACAGCGTTTTGTTGAGGGGTGTTTACAGAGGATGTCTGATGAACAATGCCTTTACTGCCAAAGAATTCTTTCATATCAAATTCGGGTCCATTGTCACTTCTCAGGACCTTGATCAAGACCCCAAATTGTGTTAAAACAAAGTTGTGGAAGTTCTTTATCAAGTCTCTCACTTCTGACTTCATTTTCATCAAGTGCAACCAAGTGAATCTTGAACAATCATCCACAAGAGTTAGAAAGTAATGTTCACTTCTCATTGAACCTACTGGAAAGGGGCCCCAAATATCAGCATGTATTATATCAAAACAAGCATTTGATGATGAACAACTCAAGGGAAAATGGGAACGTTTGTGCTTAGCAAAATGACAAACGTCACAAGCTTTGTTTGTGAGAGGTAACTTTGGTATATCTCTGAGCAAGTACATTTTATTTATTGGAAAATGTCCTAAGCGTTGATGCCAAACATCAATTCTATTACATTGCATAACCATTTTCTCATTGATAAAATCTGATTCCATGGGTAGCTTCTTCAAGAGATACAACCCCTTTTCTTGCTTAGCTAAACCAACCATCATCCCATGGGGTTCCTGAATCATGCACTGTCCATAGGAGAAAATCATATTATAAGTGGTATCTTGCAGTAATTTGCTCACAGACACTATATTAAATTGGAATGATGGTATATGCATGGCATCCTTCAACCATAAGTTATTCCCAAGTCTTATATTTCCCTTGTGTTTTACAGCAATCCTCTTTCCATCAGGTAGACTAACTTCATCATCAACAATATGATACTCATCAAAGAATTCAATAGAGCATGCAATATGATCTGTAGCCCCAGAATCCAAAATCCATGTAGAATTGCATAATGAAAGGAAGTTAATTCTAGAGGTAGAAGACTTGCCTTCACTGTGATCCTCATTGAATCTTGGAACTAGGGAAACTGCTGCTATAGTGCCTGAGTTAGAAGGCTACACCATTCGATTTTGAATGGCCATCATGAGCTTCTAGAACTGATCATCTGTGACTCCAAAATCAGTCATGTTATTCATCACAGAAGTTGCTGTACCCTGTTGTTTTGCTTTCGATTTGTAGCCCGGCACACATCCCTGGGGGTACCCGTGCTTCTTATAACATTTGTCGATGGTATGTCCAGTCATACCACAAAACGTACACTTAGGTCTATTTCCACCATTGTTTGTGTATCTTCTGCCACTGTAAGAATTGATGGCAGCCACCAGGTCATCTGATGGGCATTATTTTTACTCTCAATTTAAATAAATTATTTATAATTTATTTATGATTTTAATTCATTATGTACTTCTTTTCTTATTTATTTTAATAATTAATTTTATTTGGGCTTTTAGTGTTTGCATTATTATTAAGTTGTTTAGCCCAACATTTAGAGTCCAACAATTAAATCTTCTTCAATTCCTTCTTTGAGTGATTCCGTCAAGGGTAGTCGGCGAGAGACCAGGAAGCAGCATCGGATTCGGTCGCCTCGACAGATCTGAATCATTGGGGAGCCGATTGATCAGCGGGAGCTCCGACGAAGAAGTTGAGTCCAGACATTATAAATATTGACCAAATTCGAGGAAGTTCTTCACCAATTCCGGTCGGCGTTCGCAGGTACGACGAGCTCCAGCTCCGGCGGCGGTTTTAGGCTTCTCCACGGCGATCGTATTCTTGAGCAGCAGATTCCGGTTCGACGAAGATTTCCGTTGGTTCGCAGCAAATTTCTGGGCAGCTTCATACAACTCTTATTCTCCTTAATTCTTCTTATTGTTATTACTTGCGTCATTAGTCTTTAGAAAACAATTCATTTGTTTTAGATAATTCTTTGGCAGCAACTTAGCTTCTATTCATTTTCTTCCCTTATCCTGTTTAGCTATTTTTGGTTTTAGCCATATTATTCACTGCTTAACAATTATAGTACGTCACTACATTTTGAGTTTATGCTTAGTGTATGGTTTTCATTAGCAAGTGCTGCTAGAAGTGATAATTGCTACGTAGTATTAATCATCCAATGTTGTTTTGCTAGGTAATTGATTTATATTCCTAGCCTTTATTTCCTTAGTGTTTTGTTGTGTGATTAATTTATTATCTTTTCTGCCTTGTGTTTTTCACTGCGCTCTATTTAGTTTAATCCATGTTGATTGATGTTTGGTTTTTAAATCCTTTAAATTATTAAGTTTATTATTTTTGTTATTAAATTGCATACTATCAATTCTCTGAGGGTTCGACCCTTGCTTTGCACGCTATCACTACAACTGACTCGTGCACTTGCGAGAACATAAATAAAAAATTGTCCATCATCATCTGTGGGAGATTGGATATTCTGAATAGCATTGGCATGGCTGATATCAATGCTGCCTAGATTCAAACTTGTTGCATTAATCTGTCGTTCAAGTTTCTCAGCCATAACATAAATTTTGTAAACTTCTGGCAAAGGATCTAGGATAAGAACATTAGATTTCAAGGCTTGATAATCATCGCTTAATCCCTGAAGGAAACGAATAACCTGATCAATGTCTCGCTCCTTTCTGATCTTATCAACTAGATCGCATTTGCACCTTGGATCGCATCTGCACACCGGAAGAGGCCTTAAAGCGTTCAATTCTTCCCACATTGTTCGATACTTTGTGTAGTAATCGCTAACAGTTAGGGAGCCTTGCTTCAAACTATAGATATCATTCTGTAGAATCGCTATTCTCTGAGCATCGCACTGTGCGAACCTTCATCTCAAGTCATCCCATACGTCAGTGGCTTTCTCCAGATGCATCACACTTTGTGCTATTGAGGAGTGCACAGATTTAAACAGCCATGAACACACCATGAGGTTACATCTCCTCCAAGGTGCGTATTGTCTACTTTCTCTGCTCGGTTCCGTGAGGCTTCCGTCGATGATGCACCATTTATTTTTCACCTCCAAGGCGATTCTCATGGAAATGCACCACGAGCTATAATTGGAGCTACCGATCAGAGGTGGACTAACGAGGATGAGGCTCGGATTATCATTTGTGCTGAAGAGAAGATGATTCTCTGGATCCTCTGTGCTATAATTCCTATGTGCTTGCAGAATCGTCGTCGAAGTCATCTGCGCCGGCGATTGAGTAATCGGTGGAGCTTGTCCTCCTTGACTTGCCTCGCCGGTGCCGGCAGCGACATAGGAGCCTGGTCGAGAAGGCTCTGATACCATTTCGCGTGATGAAAGAGACGAAGCAGAAGTGAAAAAAAGGAAGTTCACATTAGACGTCACTGAGTAGGCCGTTTTCCAAGCTTCAAGTAAAGAAGCAACCTAATGTTTAAGTCCAATAATAAACCAAATTAAATCATTCCGTGCATTCCAAATCACCCATATGGAACCCGCCACCTTCACCGCTTCCCATATACTAGGACCACAGAGAACTCTACTCAGCATTGTAGCTGATGTATCATTGTTCTGGAAATTACAACCTGATGAGTCATTGGACATAAACAGAAGAGGTGCTCCATAGTCTCCGAATCACACGGACAAAAGGGACAATCACCACCTGCCCAAACATGTTTAGATTTAAGGGATTCACGGACGGGGAGTACATTACACATACAACGCCATAAGAAATTTTTAACCTTTGGAGGAGCCGACAAACTCCACAGCTTACGCCATTCCACAAATTAGAGCTGAGGATCGGCAAACATAGAGGAATTAGTGAGCATATGGTACTCATGTCGTACCGAATACACTCCACGAGAATCATTAATTGCACAATACTGTAGGTTTAGTTGAAGTATTTCAATGCACAGTTATTAGTTAAAAATGGTGATTAATATACTTGAATAAATGAAATAATAGTATTAAATTTTGTAATCTCGATTTAAAATCTATAATAATAATAATAGTAGTAGTAATAATAGTAGTAGTAATAATAGTAGTAGTAATAATAGTAGTAGTAATAATAGTAGTAGTAATAATACTAGTAGTAATAATAGTAGTAGTAATAGTAGTAATAATAGTAATAATAGTAATAATAGTAATAATAGTAATAATAGTAATAATAGTAATAATAGTAATAATAGTAATAATAGTAATAATAGTAATAATAGTAATAATAGTAATAATAGTAATAATAGTAATAATAGTAATAATAGTAATAATAGTAATAATAGTAATAATAGTAATAATAGTAATAATAATAATAATAATAATAATAATAATAATAATAATAATAACCACTACCACCACCACCACCCTTCTTTCGACAATTTTTTTTTTACTTCAAATAATATCAATTACCCGTGCACTTCCTTTGATTACTTTTGAATAAAATCTTAAAAATTATGACAATTAAGGAATTACTCCGTAATACTTTCCGTAATATAAATTTTATCTAATGAGTTAAGGGAATTGATAATACAAATATGACATCCATAATTAAAAGAGATTAAAAAAATTATCATAATTATTCCAATTCACAGATTATTGTGTTCATACAATTATGAAAATTATTCCAATTCACAGATTATTACACATATAAAATTATGCTAATAGTTACTTTTGAATAAAATCTTAATAATCATGGTAATTAAGAAATAATTCACACATACTTTTATTAAACTATTTTTATACTTGCCATAATATAGATTTTATCTAATCAATTAAGGAAATTAATGGTACACATATTACGGACATAATTAAAGGAAATTAAACATACACATATTACAAACATAATTAAAGGAAATTAAACATACACATATTACGTTCATAATTAAACGAAATTAAGCATACACATATAATTATTTTATTAAGGATAATATATACTCCTTAATTATAATAATTATTAAGATTACATGGACGCCATAATTAGCATAATATTAATTAAGAATAATATATACTCCTTAATTACCATATAGTAATCATAATAAAACGACCCCATTTTTATTGAAACTAATGCTAAATTTTCCAGCACATATAAGAAATTAAACATACATATATTACGGTGGGTAATTAAAGAAAAATAAACATACACATATTACATTTATAATTAAAGAAAATTAAACATACACATATTACGTCCATATTGCCAGCCTGTACTTAACACTTTAATTTTACTATGATAATTAAACATAGAGATTCCCTTCATTTGATTATAGTATATTTTTGTTACTTAAAATAATATCAATTAGCCATGCTCTTCCTTCTAATTTTTGTTTAGACTTTTCCTAATATAAGTTTTAAGTAATCAATTTCAATACTAATATACAAATCTTACAATTTCAAATAAATGTATACTTTCAAATAAATGTATACTTTCAAATATTAGAATGTTTTATTATTCCATCATTAATTTTATTATTTAAATATATAATAAAAAATTTATTCGTGCATCAAATCAGTATATCACACGGTTGCCTTTTCCAGGGGAAGGCGACCAGTTGGTCACCTTCCCTGGCGGAATGCGGCCAGTTGGTCGCTTTCAGCCGTAGATGGCGACCGGCGACGACTTGGTCATCGCCGGTCGCCAGAATTAAAATGACCTTTTATAACAGGTCATTTAGCGGTTCATGGGCTTTATTGACTCATTTTGACAAGGTTAAGTGTTTAATTGCTCATTTTTAAACTTCAGGGGTTTAATTGCCCTTTTGGCTAAAGTTTAGGAGCCTATTTGACAATTTTCTCTTAAAAAAGTATATAAAAAGTCCTATTTGATTCAAAGTAAACATAATTTTACATGGACCTTTATTCTATAATTAGTAGCGATGCGCAAAAAATAGGTGCCCAATATTAATATTTTATATTAAAATTTTAAATTTATTTAGATTTTAGATATTTAAATTATTGTAAATAATAATAATAATAATAATAATAATAATAATAATAATAATAATAATAATATACACATTATATATTGAGGTTATATGTTAGTTATTTCTTAAAATATAAATATTAAATTTATAGAAATGTTTTACATTATTATTATTATTATTATTATTATTATTATTATTATTATTATTATTATTATTATTATTATTGAAAATAAGAAAATATATGGTGGATGCATGTGCATGGTAGCAATAGTGAAAAAGATAACGGAAGTTATAACGGTATGGGTATGTTTTATTGTATATTGTATAGTACAATATTTATAGCATAATGTATCATAAAACTTAACGGAAAAAACGGACATAAATGAAGGGTATAACCTTCATCCACATTTTTAGATATTTACTAATGGCATATTATGGGCAAATTATGTCTCTAAACCATCATAAACATCTTGGTCTAGTACCAAATGCTTTCAATCCATTGATATGCATAAAGACCCATGAAGGTGAAGTTATTGATTTTGAATTAGTTATCATAGCTTGGTGCATGCCAGTGTAGGGGCAATGCGAGGTTATGTCCCTTTGCCTTTCTTACATAGGAGTATATGGAGAATGGAAGAAAAAGAAGAACTTGAAATGACCATATTGCCATCGAATTAAACAAATTAAAATGATTTTACAACTTTTCGGCGACATTTGGCCGATGATTTCGCCGGGTGGACCAAATGTGTTAAAAATTGCATAGTCACAAGATTAAAATGTTAGTTTTTAAAGTCAAGTATTGAAATTAACAAGACCCATATAGTCACAGGACCAAAAGTGTAACTTTCTCAATAATCAATTATCAAAGATTAGTAATATGTTATTTCAATTCTATGTTTTAAAAATTTTAATTTTTTTATTCTTTATTTTTTGTTTTCCAAATGTACAAGTAAACGAAATTTTCATTTAATTAAATTTCTCTATAAAAGAAATAGAGAATATTTTCAGTGAAGAAACGTTTTGATACACAAATTGGATTTGTATTGCATTGATTGGTTATATATATAATGTAAAGAAAAAAGTGGAAAAGTAAGATTCTATTATCTATTATTCAATAGTGATGAATTGGATGATTTCTTAAAAAAAAAAAAAAAAAAAAAAATCTCCAAATATATATGATAGTTTTGATTTGGGCCAACAAGGGACCCTTGTCTTTGGAAACCCAAATTGTAACAATGTAAAGTAACTCATGTCAGGCCCTCATCTCACTCCTCCAGTCGTTATATTATAGACCGCGGTGCATGTACACCGCGGTCAAAAACGACACCGTTTCTTTAAGTAAAGAAACGGCCCGCCGTTAGAGTTAACGGAGTCCGCTTGTTTGGTGTATTAAACACCAACTGACACTACAGTATATCTAAACCGACACTGCAGTTATATCAAAATGATACTGTAGTTATAGTGAAATGAAACTGCAGTGTATTTAAACTGAAACTGAATAACATTTCACATATTTGAGTGTATATTGTACAATGAAGCTGTAATTATATCAAAATGATCATGTAGTTGTGTTTTAATGAAACTATAGTGTATATAAAATAAAATTAAATAACATTTTCACATATTTGAGTCTATAAATATCGAATGAAACTATAGTTATATCGAAATGAAACTGTAGTTGTGTTCAACTGAAACTGCAGTGTATACAAAATGACACTGAATAACAGAGTTACTTTTTGCAAAAGGGTGCGAAACGGCGGAAACAAACACCGTTAATTTTCATTTAATAAAAAAGACGCGCGGTGCATAATCGATTATGCACCGCGGTGCATAATATAATTTGCCTCACTCCTCGGCGTCATCTGGCTCCATATATTTTCATTTTTTGTATACTGGAAATAGGGGTGAGCAAAACAACCATTAACCGATAATTGAACAGCCCGAAAAATTCAGTTATCAATTTTTTTAGTTCAAAATTTTTTGATTATTTCAATTTTTCGATTGGTTATTGATTTTCTTAAAAATAAACTGATGACCAAGTGAAAAATCGATGCTTAAACAAGTAAAAAAAAAAAAAAAAAAACTAGTAATTTTGTAATATACCTTTGGGCTTTGATATAAGAGAGAAAAAGCATATCTTTATAGGAAAAATAATTTTAAAATAACAAAGTCCAATTAGTACAACTCTACAAGGCCCATTTGAACAAAAAACGCAAATTATGCCGTGGAATCGTGTTCACCGAGAATGGTGAACACAAGTCAAAACCCCGACGTCGTTTTTAGGCAAAAAAAAAAAAAATCACGGATCTGGAGTTAACGGCGCGTTACTGATCAAATTATGAATTTTCTGTTATGAGATTATGAATTTTCATAAAATTCATAATCGCATAACAGAAAATTCATAATCGCATA